TAAGACCTCTCCTACAGCCACTGTTGTCCAAGAAGCTTGAGCAATTGATAGATTCACTGAGACTTACTAGAAATTGGTCTCTTTCCTTCTTCTTTTTAAATAACATAATTCTTGGCATTGGACTTTTTAAAGAAACCGTGGAGCAAAAATAATTCTTTTTTTTTTTTAACGTTTATTTATTTTTGAGGTGGGGTGAGAGGGGCGGAGAGAGAGGGAGACACAGAATCTGAAGCAGGCTCCAGGCTCTGAGTTGTCAGCACAGATCCCAAAGCAGGGCTGGAACTCACAGATTTGAGATCGTGACCCAAGCAGAAGTTGGACGCTTAACCAACGGAGCCACCCAGGCTCCAACGGAGCCCCCCAAAAATAATTCTGAAGATTTTTTTTCTTCCCTGTAAAGTGGCAACAGAAATGAGTTTGCATGGTATGACAGTCTGGACACATGAATCAGTAAAGAAGGCCACTTCAGTATGGGGAGTGCTGATAGAGGAAGGGCAGGAAATCTGTGAGTTTACCCCTGAACTGCCCAGAGGGAATATAATTATAGACACAAATATTTAAATTTTGTTTATGAAAATTTGCCCAAATATTTTGTTTATTCAAATGCTTCTTCTTTTCTGTATTTACTACAAACACAGCCTTTTTCTCTTTCTTTCTTTCTTTCTTTCTTTCTTTCTTTCTTTCTTTCTTTTTCTTTTTTTTTTTTTAACTTTTTCTGTTTCTGCTTTTGTGGGACACTTCTGTTTTATGGTTGTAATCCAGGCATTTTAAAGCTGGGCCACGAATATTAAAGACTGGAATCCTGAAATGCCCCACCTGTTTAAAGTGTCCCCTTTGCCAAAGCATGTCTCCCCACTTTTTTAAGGAGTCATTAGAACCCGCTTATTAGAAGGGTTGCATAAATATTTTCACATTTATTTCTGATGGCACTCTTCCTAGGTAGGCACTATTATTATCATCATTTTGTAGGTGATAAAACGGAGGCTTAGAGGGGTTGCATATGGTCAGTATTCTGTGGGTGGCAGAGCTTCAATTTCTAGTTGGGTTCTGTGGACATTCAAGGTCACCTTAACAACATACCACACTGCCCCCTTCCCTTAAAACGGATCGAATGTGATGGAAGCTTTGGAAAAGACACTAACAGCTGGCTTCCAGGAGACACCCCACCCCCAAGAAGCGGGCCACCCAGAACTTATCAGGGGGCCTAAGTGCCTTTAAACCACCATACTAGGGTTTCCCCGTCACTAGTTAGCAAACCTGAGTTTGCTTTTACCAGAGAGCCCCTAATGCCACAGAAACCAAGAAGTGTAATCCTGTGCCAACTTCTGCTGTTGTGGCAGATTAGATCCTGAGGGCCGGGTCCCTCCCCCTGTGAATAAAGCCCAAGAAAATCGTCTCCAAAAGCAGTTATCCAGAGTTTTGGTTTCGTTTAGTTCAAAACAGGAAATCATGCTCCCCTAACTCCCTCTCACCTCCTAAACCCCAGCTGTATTTTCTCTTTCTGGTCAAGAAAACTGCCTTTCGATTTTATTAAATAACGAACATACTCCAAATTGGGCAGTTGTTTTGGTAGTTTTCTCCTTCACACTTTTCCAAATTTTCTAAATGTTCTACAACGAGAATGCAGCTTTAAAACAGACGGGCGTTAAAAAATAAATAAAAAAAATAATAAAATAAAATAAAATAAAATAAATAAAATAAAATAAAATAAAATAAAATAAAATGACTGGCGTTTGAAAACCATATGATGGTTTTCCAGGTTATTACTTCTTGAGAATATTGCAGTGAAAATGGAAGAAAATAACAAGGAAAATGAGGTGGTGTACATTAAAAGCACTATATAAACATTATTTAGGGGAAGAAAGAAAAGCTCTAACTGAAACACAACTTGGCGCCTTGTATTATGGTTTTATTCTGCCAATTAGACCTGAGACCTACTCCCCACTCCAGTGTGTGGGCTGTAGGGGTTTAAGCTGGAGAAAGCATCCGGTGTGTGTGTGTGTGTGTGCGCGTGCGCGCGCGCGTAAGTGTAAGAAGTGTACCTATATTACCCTGTAGAACATATACCTTTCAAAGTGGCCCTGGCCCCAAAGACTCTTCTGGTGTAAGAAGCCTCTGGTTCTTGTCTTCCAGTAACCTCGGCCTCCAGAAGAATCAAATCATAGAAAGTAATGAGAGTTCCATTTGGAAGCGCAGTAATTTAAATGTGATCACCACCCGTTCTGCAGAGAAAGAACCAATCCCAGCGCAGGGAGCCAAGAAAGCACCTTTAAATGAACTTCCGGACCAAACTAGGTAAAAGGCAACAAAGACCACATTCTGCCGCGCCCACGGCCACTCGGTTTTCACAACGCGTTTTATTATTCATAAAAAAATAAATTTATTTACATTTGCTAGTTGCTGTGGTAGTGCAGCCTGGAGACAGCGGCGCATTTCCCCCGAGCGGGGTCACTGGGTACGTACAGCCTCAGCGGACCCACCCAGCGCACTCCTCCCGCGAGGCAGAGCCTGGACGGTGGGCCCGGGGAGGCGTCCAGAGCATGGAGGCGGCAGGCCCGCTGGGGATGGTCAGGGGCCGGAGGAGGGGTGCTGCAAGGAGGCGTGGGAGGAAGGACTGGACGGAGGCCTGAAGGGGACGCAAGCCTGGTGGGGTGCGGGGTGTGGGGTGCGGGGGTGGGAGGCTCTAGTTTAGACGGGAGGCGGGTGGAGACAGAAGCCTGGCTGGGAAGCAGCGGGAGCCTGCGGGGAGTGAAGGGCTTGACTGCAGCCGGGAGGCAGAAGCGCCGGGAGCGCTCCGGGCCAACCCGGGTCCGGTGGTCTGGGAAAGGGCGCCTCCGTCTTTCCCTAGACGGAGCGGGCGTGCCCCTGCCTCCCGGAGGCTGGGGTCCCGTGGGGGGTACAAACCTGGCCCAGGTGTGCCACTCCCCTCTCTTTGCAACTTAAAAACATGCCCCGATGTTGGTCTCGCGTGAAGACTGCTGTCTGTAAAGCCACTCATCCAGAGCACGTTCTAACCACTGCCTCACCGTAACATGCCTGTGCTGGGCACGGCCCCGCCATCGTATACGTCTATCTGGCTCAGTCGGGAAACTAACTCGTAGGCGGTTTGGCACGACAGCGCGGGGGTCAGTCTACACTGCTAAAGCCCGAGGCTGGATCTGGTTGCGCGTTGTAGAGACAGAAGGAAGGTCTTTTGGAAAAGAAAACTGTCGTCGCCAGGATCCCCAGCAGCCGCAGCCCTTGGCGCCCTGCGATGACGGCCACACGGCCAGCCCTCAGGCTCTGTCCCCAACGCCCGCCTCACGTCCTGCTCACAGTTCGGGTGGGTGGGGGGTGTCGAGGAGGATTTAGCAGAGTCCGATGGCACTTTCCCCCATTCTCTGGGGGTTCTCATGCTCCCTTCTCTCCGTGGCCCCCAAACACACGTGCTTGAACAGTAACTCCAGCAAGTGACTTCGATCTAAGCGGTGGTCCCACATAATCTGTTGGCTGCGGAAACTTCTTTGGTGTCGGTGTCAGGTCGTCCTGAGACCACGAACGGCCATGTCTGTAAAGTCAAAAGAGAATCAGACATCGAAGGAAAAAAAAAATACCGTCTCAAAGCGAAACCGCTCTCTTAAATGAACCCTGGAATACCCCTGGCTTTGAGTAGCTCAGATTTTATCCGTGTTCTGGGAATTTGGGTATCTTCTCTCCAAACTGGGATTTTAATTTTACTGGATTTTGATTGCGTGAGACGTTAAGAGTTCCGTCCACGCTTCCTCCTGGACTTTGCCCTCAAGATGATTTGGTGAAACTTGCAAAAGTTTGGGATTTTGTGTTTAATTCCCTTCCCCCAGCACGCGCGCGCGCGCGCGCGCGCACACACACACACACACACACACACACACACACACACCATCATCAGCCCTCCACTCTAAGTAGGAACTGGAATAGGTTCTTTCTCAAGCCTGGAAAGTTGGCAGGTTAGAAAGGGACTTTCCAGACAAATCCCTTTTGGGGAAACCTCTGCTATTCTGCAAGAACTTTTTAACATCCAAAGGCTGATTAAATAGAGCTCGGCCTTCCCTCCTTCCTTTCAGTAAGTAGGGCTCCTTACATGGAACCTGTCTGACTCTTAGATGGAAACGCTTAGGCGACAGAGACTTGCCATTGAATCTGCAACCGGGTAGTGGCCGCAGATGGCATCGAGATTCACCCCGGAAGTAAGATTTAAGCCAACTGCTGTCACAGGGCAAAATACCAGGTACAAAGATCAGAATGAAGAAGCACTGAAGGGTGCACGGCTCTTCCCCAGGAGAACGGCCTGGCCCCTCCCTTGACTGGGAGAAACTAAACTGGACTCCTCACCACCCATTCCAGCACCCCCCCTTTCGGGTTCTTGCCAGGGGGCTGACCCTGCCTGGCACGCGGGAGCTCCCTCCCTGAGCATTTCCCGGCCGCTCGCCCCGAGCCTCGCGTGCGGCGCCCCTACCAGGTTCACCGGGTGCACGTAGCCGTTCTCGTAGCGGTCCTCCTGCAGCAGCTGCCGCAGGTGCGCGATGTAACTGGAAGCCAGCCGGAGCGTGTCGAGCTTCGAAAGCTTAGTGTCTGGGGGCACCCAAGGCAGACTGGTCTTGAGCCTGGAGAAGGCTTTGCTCAGCACGCGCATCCGGGCGCGCTCGCGGGCGTTGGCGGCGTTGCGCTGCGACTGCTTGCAGTCGGCCGCCGAGCCCTTGGGCGGGAGGGGCTTCTTGCCGCCGCCGCCCCCAGCCACGCGCGGCCGTTTCCTCTTGCAGCCCTCCGCGCCGCCGGCCGCTCCCAGCGCGCACCGCTCTTCCTCGCCGTCGGGGTCTTCCTCCTCGGCCGAGGAGTTGTCACTGGGCGAGATGTAGCTGCGCTCGGCGCCGCGGAGGGGCGGCCTCTTGGAGGCGGGGACCGGGTACCCCCGCTGCAGCCCCCGCAGCTCCATCTCCTCGGGGTCGCTCACCGAGCCGGTGGACATCACCGCGTCCCCCACGCCCACGCGCGCCCGCCTTCCTGCCCCAGGCCAGCCTCGCGGTGTCGGCCTTCCGCTCCCTCTGGCGGAGGCGGGGGGCCAGGCAGCGTTCGGAGCGTGACTGGAGACCCGGGTAGGCAGCCCCGCCGGGGAGCGAGCAGTGCCGCGGACCCGGGAGAGCGCGGGCCGAGGAGTCCGCGCCCCCGCCCAGGCCCCGCGCGCACTAGCGCTAGCTGCGCCTTTTGACAGGACTATTTATTTGTACTCCTCGGGACAAACCACCCGGGCAAAGAAGAGGGGGTTGGAAAGGGGGGCAAGAGGTGGGGCGGGGGCGTGGAAGGGGTGGGGACCGTTTGTCTGCGCTCAGGATCTGCTGTTGGGGGCAGGGAAGGGGAAGTCTCCGCTGAGCCGCGATTTGGGGCCCCGGGTCCGTGGGACCCTCAGATTGTCAGTGAGAGGTATGTGTCGGGCAAGTGAAGGAGGGGACCTTGTTCGTACCCACCCCACTTCCACGCCCAACTAGTCTTAGCGATGGCGGAGATTGCCAGACGCTTCGAAGCCCTAGGATCGCGACCTCTGCTTCTCTCCCGGGCTTTTCAGCGGAACTGTTTCCCAAGTTCATAACGCATCATGTAGGACTGCCTATCCTGGGCTTGCCCGACCACAGCTTAAGAGCAAAGCAAGCAAACAACACTGACAACGGTTAACCTCTCCCTTTTCCGTCCTCCTTTTCCCCTAACGTGGCTTTATGATTTACAAAGCACTTTTAGTACATCGGCTCGGTTCGTTCCATTTTCAAACATCTGTGACTTAAATGTTATCTCCACTTTGCAGAACTTCAAGCTAAGCCACAGAGATAGAGATTTAAGTAAAGGACCCCCAATCACCGGGCTGGTAAGTAGAATACGGACTGGAGATCTGTGTCTAGCATCCCCAGCCCCTCGGTCTTTAGTCGCTAACACGCCTCCCTCACCACACATCACAAGCCGTTATATCCATTATTTCCCACTGTCTTGAGAATTTCATGCTTCGTTTTGTTTGTAATACCACAATGCGTAAGATAGAAGCTCTTGCCCCAACTCTTTGTGTTGTAGTCCAGGGAATCAATTCCTATTTTAGGTTGTGTATTGAAGAGCACACTCCTGGATGCAGAATGCTAAGTCAATGCAATCTCAAAAAAAAAAAAAAAAAAAAAAAAAAAAAAAAAAAAGACAAAACAGCATCCAAAATTATGCCAACCAAAAATAAGCCCTCTGCCCACTCCCCTCCCCCAAAGGAAACATTGGCCTCATTATTTTCTAACTCAAAGGACCTTTGCAGTAGGTGCTCTTGGAATGGGTACTTCACTTTGGAAGGAGGCACCTATGGCCAGCTACTGAGTGCCTGCTGTGCGCCAGTCACTGGGCTGGGCGCCATACGACTGCCCACAGGAATTAAAAGAAAGCAACAAAACAACAAAATGGTTAAACCACTGCGAGGTTGGGGTATGGTAACTCCGTTTAGCAATGAGGAAATCGAGTCTTCAAACCAGAGTTAGGTGTTTACTTGTCCTTTCCCTGAAAGCTCACAGGCTCCCAAACGGAGCCAAGTGCGAGGAAAGAAATGTGCAGTCAGCCCAGGACAGAGTGGGCAGAAGCCATGGGGCCAGCCTCCCTCCACCAGCAACTCCGCAGAACAAATGCTCCCGGCTTCGTGCCTGAAGTGCCACAACAGGTGGCTGGCCTGGGCTGACTTCATCACTCAGGCATCGTCCACCTTCGTATCCCAGGCCAGGCCTCCCTGGTGGGGGATGTTTCACACAAGCCCTCCTGGTCGCCCTCATTTGTAGAGGTTTTCTCCCTATACATTTTGGCATTTTGTTAAGGGATGGGGCAGGGGCTCCTCTGGGGATCATTTGAATGAAAATATCGCTCATTTTCCGTTCTCTCTGGGCTGCGAAAAGGCAGAGAGTATCCACAGAATGTAGAGTTCTTCAGAGGGGTGCTCGAACTTGAACTTGACTTTAGGTGCCACAGGCCAAGGAGGGAAGAAAAAGTGAGAAGGGGGAGCGAAGGATGTAAAAAGGAGATCGTAAGCTAGATTTCTGCATCACCTATTGGTGACTTGAATCTATCAGTATAAATACATAGTCTCACACATTAGAGGCAGGCATATAGGTTTTAAAAATCTGGATTGTTTATACAGGTGCAGAACAAAGTCTTTCTTTAGAAAAGATTAATGGTGGGCAAAGTGCTAGTTTTTCTCTAAACAGTCGCAAAAATCTGTACCCAGTCTCAAAGCTAAGCAGGTCATGGCCAGTTTCTCTTGCTTGTAGGAACTGACTGACCCCAAATGTTCCTGCTTATTTTTTTCATAGCTCTTTCCTGTTTCTCTTCTCTTCTTTGTGCCTCTTTATCCTTCCGTCTTTCCATTCTTTTTTCCTTCTTCTTTATCTCTCTTCCTTCTTCCCTCCTTTCCTGGGTTCTCTTTCAAGAAAGGCAGCTATATTCATCTTCTTTCATTATTCCTTTCCCTCCTTTTCTTTCTAGAAATATCTTTCTTTTACTCTTTTTTTTTTTTCAAGTTGCAGACTCCCAATAAAGATCAGGAAGTGTATCTTCAAATGCATTTCATATTAGTGTATAACTGCAGTTTGCTTTAAACATGTTTATAATATATGACGTCTGTCACCTCTTTACACTTTGAATATGCTTTTACTTTCCCTTCTCTCTCAATACAGCAGCCCCGTGAGCTGAACAGTGCAAGTATAATTATCTCTTTTGAAAGCTCAGCTGTTCTAATGTTTTGGCAAGTTGTACACTGCAAATGAATCGCAAAGACTTTATTTTTGTATTTTAAAAAAAAAGCATATTGAAAATAATTCCTATCTGCCCATGCTTTGCAACATGTTTTCTTTAATTTTTTTTAAAGTTTATTTATTTATTTTGAGAGACACAGAGAGAGAGTGCAAGTGGGGGAGGGGCAGGGAGAGAGGGAGAGTCTGCTGCAGGCTCAGCACAGAGCATCACCTGGGGCTGGAACTCATGAACCATGAGATCATGATCTCAGCTGAAATCAAGGCCAGTGCTTTTCCAGCTGAGCCACCCAGGCACCCTGCTTTGCAACCTTTTAGATTTGTGGCCTGAATATACAGATGTTTATGGTATGCATTAATCGTCTTGAAATTCTTTAAGACGTCCTTTTTAAGTAGGCAAGGGAGGCTGGGTGGGCTAAAAGTTACATTATAAAACAAACATTAATACATTTAATAATGTTTCCTGATCCTGGTTTTCCTGCTTATTGGCTGTATGACCTTTGGCAATTTCCTTCTTCTGAGGCCCAGTTTCCTGATCTATAAAATGAACTATCTGTCTCATAAGGGAGAGGAAGGGTATGAGCAAATGCCTGGGCCAGAGCCTGATACATGGAAGAAGTTCAATAAATGCGAGTTATTTTCATCACTATTAATTGCTTTGTCCAATGTCATATAGCTAATAAGTATCAGGTCAGGAACTGACCCAGGTTTTGTACTCCAGGACTTGTTCTGGGTTTTCGATGGCCCCAGGATGCCATTTGCTTTAACCGCAAGCTTCTAGGGTTTGAAGCACGTGATCCCATTTCCCATAGATCTTGTAGGAGACCTCGCTGAGGGAAAATGGATGGGCCTACATTTCTTTCTCCAGGTTCTCTTCCCATAAAGTCACAGCACTTCTCCAGTCCTCACTCTCCTTATTTAAAAACTGGAATAACATTCCTAAATCAGAGTTATTGAAAGGCTTACATGAAATTGTGGTGTATGTGAAAGCATACTCAGATGTAACACGGAGAAGGCACTTAATATATTAAAATATTTTTAAATGCAATGTTTAAATATTTTAAATGGTTTAAAACGTTAAAAATATCTAGGGGTGCTTTGGTGGCTCAGTTGGTTAAGCATCTACCTCTTGGTTTTGGTTCAGGTCCTGAGCTCATGGTCTTAAGATTGAGCCCTGTATAAGACTCCCTGCTGAGCTTGGAACCTGCTTGAGATTCTCTCTCTCCCTCTCCCCCTCCCTCTCTCTCTCGCTGCCCCTCTCCCACTCGTATGTACATGTGCATGAGTTCTCTCTCTCTCAAAATAAATATTTAAAAATGTATTAAAAATATCTAAAACTTAGGTTTTCTAAAAAGGTAGACCAAGGTAGGTTAATAATTAGAGACCACAGAAAATAGGCCATTTATGGCCACTGCCCCTTCTAACTCTGTTGGAAGACTAGATGCGAAAGTCTGAATTTGGGATGGTCAGGTGGGTTTAAGGTTTTGGGAGAGGAGCGGTTGCACCTACATTCTGGGAACACCAGGCCAAAACATTAGTAAGTAAATGCTAAAGAAATGATTGCTGTGACAATGCATTTGAATGGAAAGAGCCCTCCCTACATGACCTTCCTGGTGGTATCTTCCTAAAGTCTCCTGATATTCTGAGCCATCTGGATGGCTGAAGAAATTGCCATATCTTTGATCTACAAAAACAGAGTCTCCAATTGGCCAATATGGAAGCCACTAGCCACAGAAGGCTATTGAGGACTTGAGCTGTGGCTAGTCATGTACAGTAGAGTAAAACACACACCAGATATTGAAGACAAAATGAATAAGATCATGTAAAATACCTCAGGAATATGTTTCCAAAATTATGTCTAACAATGATAGCATTTTGGATATATCGGGTTGAAAAAAATGTGATTAAAATTATTTTCACTTGTTTCTTTTTGGTTTTATAACGCAGCTACTAAACATTTTGATTTATATGTGCGGCTCAGATTATTTTCTTTTGGATAATGTAGGGATTAACTATGCTACTATAGATGGAGTGTATAAGGTTCACTGTGAGACCAACTCCCACCTACTCAGGACACACTCTCCTGGGAAAAAGCATGATCATTCGGGAAGCACACATGACATCACGTATCTTGTCCCTCATCCCTGTCATCTCCCCTGCACCTCACCACGCGTCCTCAACCTCACATAATTCACCTGACCCTAGAACGTGCTGAGAAACACTCTGCCCTACTATGTAACGGAAGCCTTAGCCCTGGAGAAGCATTGAGCTTAATCCCCCCAGGCATAACGGACACTCTGCAGACATCAGCCAGAGCTCCATGGCCCAGTTCATTAGGCTTTCAGTGCTTAAGGAGCAGGACACCTAGGCCAGTGAGGTGAAAGATCTGGGGAACGCTGTGCACGGGTCACGTGGACTGCTAGTCATGTGGTGTGCCGGTCACATGGGGAGCAGGTCGGTTGGAGGCACAGTTAGGCCAGCCTCACCCCAGGCCTTGTCTCTTCTTTCTCCGACTACACAAAGCCACGTGCCCAGCTCTAGGTCCCCTGAAGCCTCCGTCCCCTCCACCCCCACTCCCAGCCCAGGAAGGAAAGGGACTCCTGACGTTTGGGCGCCACCAAGGAAGCGGCCAAGCACCTGTGGGAACACTCGGAATGGACAAGAGGAGTTCTCTGTCATCTACGACACAACCAGTCGTCCACTGCTGGCTTCTTTATCCAGAAGTTGTGCCAAGATTTTTGCTTCCTTGGAGCCCCAACAGGCCTCAGTGCGTAGACAGGCCAGTGCCTGGACACATCAGGTCTGCGGAGGCTCGAGGGCGAAAAAGTCTGAGTATGTTTCAGAGACCTGATTTTCTCTGCCATCAAGAGGGAAGGAAAAAATCTTCACTGACTGTCTTGACAAGTAAAAATGCAGGTGGCTTTGGGGAAAGATTTTTTTAAAGCAGTATCTGCGGATTGAAAGCGTAAACTCTTCTGCCCCTGGCATGGTGTGTATCTCCTGAAAATGACTTTGACTGCTCCACTAGCAGAGTGAAGCACACCAGCTCTCAGGAAGAAAAAGCCCTGCGGTGAAGGCCTCCGAAGGAGGCCTGTTTGAA